GCTCCCTGTGTAGCACAGAAAGGAAGACCTGAGTTCCCTTCCCACTCCACATCCTGTCACTGTTGCCTTCTCTGTTGTTGATCCCACAGGCGTCAGAGGCAGCCACAGAGAGTTGTTTCCAAGCAAACCTGGCAGTGTTTGGGGACAAGACTGCACATTTCCAGATCTGATTCACAAACAGCTGGAATGCAGAAAAGAAATCAGAACCATCCTTTGCTGTCTGTGCTGTGAACTGGATTCTAATTCAAGATCTGTGGCTTTCGAAAACGATAGTAGCAGGAATTGTCCAGGAAGGTATTTCTCTGTGAGTACTAGAAAGTCTAATTTACTGTATTGTCTAAGGACTCCCTAGGTTACTGACTACAGATGTTACTGTCTGACGATTTTATCACTAGCTTTATGACTAAGAAAGCAACTCAGTCACTTGGAATTGAATCTTCATTCATACTCTTACAATTTTTAAATATTTCATTTACTTATTCATTTATTTTATGTGTGTGCGTATGTGAAGGTCCAAGTCAACTGTTCTCTACTTCCACCACGTGTGTCCTGGAGGATGAAGTCAGGCTGTCAGCAAGGCTGAGCCATCTCACCTATCCTAAATTCATCTTGATGAGATATTTATATCATTATATTATTCTTATTTATGAAAATAGGGATATCAATTACTTAGTGGCAATAAAAGCCATTTCTAATGTTCAAACTGTATCAGAAATTAATGCCCCCTCCCAAACCTTGAGAGGGGGTCTCACTATGCTGCTCCAGCTGGCCTGGAACTCACGATGTAAATAGACTGGTCTTGAACTCAGAGATATCGTCCTGCTTCTGCCTCCCAAATGCTGGGATGAAAGGTGTACACTACAACCCTAAAAGCCAATCATTAGCACAATTTCAACAGAAAGTCAATGCTATTGATGGAGGTAGAGACAGAGAAAAGGTTGGCTAGCAATACAGTAAAAGGAAAGGGCGACAGAAGATTTAAAGTGTGGTGGCACACTAGTCTCCGTGAGCTGGCTCTCTCAGAACCTGTGTTCTGCCAACAGTTCTATGACAACTGTTTCTAGTACCAGGAAAAGAAGTTAAACCATGCCTCTCGGTGATCACTACCCCCAAATGAAAATGGCACACACATTTTATAGCAATATCTAAATGTTATTACTTCTTTACCAATATACATTTTTAATCTCATTATTCTCTTATCGTAAACAGGAACATGTATGATTTACAATGATTTGACTTTTTCTTTTTAAAAAGCAATACAATAGTTCTAAACAGTGCCATAGAAAAATCTAGAAGTAATGAATAAAGTTAAATTAGCCAAGGAAAATAAATGGAAACACAATTCACAGTAATTGGTGAGTAGAATGAATTTAAAGTTAAAAAGTCATCTAAAAATAAAATCTGAGACAGCATTTATTATTAGGAAAACAAGAGCATTTGGTGATGAAATCAACAGACTGCAATAACCACACTCCAGAAACAAGCAAACTATCCGTATTTCTACTAGTGAGCTCCATGTAACTTCAATAAATGTGGAAACTCTGACCTTCAACTGACACACCTATATAGAGAAGATTTTATATAATATTATATATATATATATAAGTCATTTCAACATTAAGACAAATTACAGAGACTAAACCCACAGTCAAAAACCACATATAAAAATTAGCATTATTTGCCTAATACAGAAAACAAAAATTGCATTAAAGAGCCCAAAAACTTAATCTGTAAATATTGTCATATACAGACTTCAATGACTATCTCCAGCAACTATAGAATTTTTTTTTTCTTGCAGAGCCTGCACATCCTAAACCACAGACTAGCTAAAACTTGGTGAAAATCCAGGCAAGAATTTCTGCAAAGGGGTGAGACTGTAGACAAGCAAGGGTTTTAAGAAAGCAAATGTTAGGAAGGGCATTCTGAAAAGGCTTTGTGACTGTCTAAAGTGCACACTATCATGACTTCTTCCTAAGAAGTCACTTCAAACAAGAATTCCCAACTGCCATATAATACTCGGTCAGCTAAGAATTTCACACTTATTTCACTCAGAAAATAAATGACTCACAATTATTCAACAAAGCAAAACAACTACAAGGTTAACTCTTTAATATATATTATTACCATGAAATTTAATATAACTCGGAGAGTAGTAATCAGGAACATTCTTTTAGGTACTTTTTGACTTACTAAGCAGCAATCTCAATCTCTCACTAAATGGGTAAGTTCTTCAGCTAGCTTTTATCTGTACAGATTTTAAGCCTATTTTGTCACATCAAACTGTTACTATGTATCTCTATAGAACACTTTTTAAGGCAGATGTGGAGAGAGCCAGTGGAATGGCAAGTTGCCAACACTTACACAGAGAATACACATTTCCTTCAGTGTGGTTTTATAAACAAACAAAGCACTGGGCCTTAAGTCTGACACACTTGTCTACATTAAACCAGTGACTTCTTTTTCCAATATTTTCTGTTTTTACTCCCTGGACACAGAATGGTCAGTTTTAGTAGAAATGGAAACCATATCAAAACGGGTGACTTTGATAAAGTTAATATTGTTTGTTAGCTTTAACAACACAGAGGTGGGAATCCAACTCTAAATTACTTTGTATGTGTGTATAGAAACACAACATAACTCTGAATCAAACCAACTGGCAGCCAAGTAAGTTCTCATGCTATTTCATAAATAAAATGCAAATGCATTTGTGAAGTGACTTGCAATTAAAATTCCTACAGAATACAAGGGCGAAAGTGGCATCAGGTATCTATAGCTTATTTCTGATTGAAAGCCATATATTCTATAGAAAAAGGGAGCCGGAGGTGAAGCTGGAACTGGGGATTATGTCAAGGGAACAGTTTCCCACTAACTAATATGTCTAAAGCTATGTGTTTTAATTTGGGACTAAGCTAGAGTATGAAAGACATTTTAAGTAGTAAAGCACACATATTTGGTTACTTAAATATTAACTTTATTGTTTAAATTATAATATTCTGCTGTTACTCCTTATGAAATATCTATACAAGTTCTAAATCTGGGTTCTGATGTGAAATGTGAGCAACATGTCAGTCTTGGTCCTGGACATACAAAACTTTCTGAAGTTATCCCTGGCAGCGCCCCAACTAAATCCCCAAGGCACAGATTCTCACTTGACTAGTAGTCAGTCATTTCAGTTAGCGAAAGCATCTCACTCAGGCAACTAAGTAGTTTCCTATGATCCAACCACTTAAACATGGTAGTGAAAAATGAAAATTTCCAAACTAAATAAAAGTGAAGAAAGATGGAATTAAAGCAGGCATTTTAAAAACAGAAGAAGCAGTTAAGAGGAAAAAAAGAATCACTGAGGTCAAGAAATGAATCTGAAGGAGGAAACTGGGGTGGTGGGGAGCATGTATAGACACAAAGGAGGCAGGCAGCAGAATTCCGTTTGATTGTAATGTCGAGCGAGGTGCCAGAGCTCACAGTGCTCAGCTACAGTTCTTATATTTGGCAGCTTCCAGTTCAAGTTTTTTTTTTGTCAACTACTGATTTGCATCTGTCTTTGAAAAAACGAGATCCACCAGGCTACTATTAGTGATACAGTTCATGTTCTTCGCTGTCATTTAAGAAAATCACTTCAGGAAATTGCAAAAGTCTTTGAATAGAATGGATTTGCTCCTATGTACAGTTAACTGGTTATTCTGTATTTATATAATTTGGTACCTGCTAAATACATTGTATTTTTCACAAGATAAGGTATTGACTTACATGTTTAATAAATTACTACTGATTACTTTGGGATGCTTATAAAGCTAAAAAGCCATGATTCAATCCTACAACTGGCAAAAATATATTTCCATTCATCCTCAAAAGTTAAAGACAGAGGAAAAAGACATGTCAAAGTCTCATTCCTATACATGACACTTTTGGTTAGTACAAGTCAGTTTCATAGTCACTCACCCTTAATAGCTGGCACATAGATATTCTAGATTCTGCTTTCAGCACGGTGGGTTACCAGCTGCAAATGGCACACTTTTGAGCAAGTGTGAATATTAATTAGCCAGATGCAAGTTTCTCATGCTACATTCCAAACCACCTGATAGGAAGGTATGCTCCTCTGTTCCCACACACAAAAATGGAATGATGCAAAGGGCAGTTTGTTGTACTTTTCTGTCTAGTGAAAAACTGTTGGTATTATTTTTTTTCCTTTTGTCCATCTAAAAAAGCCCACGTCACATGCTTCCTGAAATTCTTGTCAGCTGTATGCCAGAGGACAACTACAACCCATTACCCTTCAAAACAGCAGGGAGCCATATCAGAAGAAATGAAAGCACAGCTCTGGAACCCATTTTCCCAGATAAAACTGCAGCAAAAAGACAACTCAGAGGAGGCCGAGAGTGCTGGTTCTGTGTAACTGTACCAGAGGAGTGCCATATCCTTCCAAAAATCCCTACAAAGACAGTGAGCACGACAGGACTGCTCCCGCTGGTCATCCATGAGAAACCTCTTCAAGTTTCAGCATGATAGCCCTGGTTTCAAATTTTTGTGATTCAAAGCCACTGGCTACTGTAATATCTACTACAAAATACCAATACAATTCAGATCAAGTGTCTGGGTCAATCTTGAGTTTCACTTTTTGGTTGTATGGCAAAAAGTATAAACTGAAGTCCTCTAACCTCTCTATTGTTTAATATAATACAAGAAAAGTCAACATACACCAACTGTCCCACAGAAATAGACACCTGTCAAGAAGGAAGTAAACTAGTGACACCACTTACAACAGCTGTGATTCGAGGAAAAGTAAAAGGGAAAGAGGAGGAAAGGCAAGCAAAGGCCAGACAACCCAAGAGCAAAACCCAAATTCTTACAGCACCGAGTCCACTAACAGTGCTGTTTTCCTAACTAAAGATAAACTTGGAAAAATTGGAAAGCAAAAAAACAAAACAAAACAAAAACCCATAAAAACCATAGTTTTCGATACTACTTGCTAATTCTTAAAAGCTAAAGAAAAATATACATAATTAAATGGGAAGTATATCAATTTCACTTTATTCACCTAATGCAGGAATATGAGGAAAAGGGGATTGAGGTCAGGTACGAAGGAGAGGGTTAAAACTTGTGATAATAAGGATCCTTCAAAACTCTGATGCAGTCCTCAGTCACTGCGACGTCACCTCTGCCCACGCAAACACGGAACTCCGACTCCTGTCTCCACTTCTGAGCCCAGCAACTCAACTCAACTCCCCAGTTTACAGTGTGATGAGGTCTACCAGATTGCCTTTCGGAGGAGTCATGCTGTCAGGAAAGAAGTTTACTAAGGTGTCAAAGAGCTGAGTTCTTTGCGCATAGGTGTGATCCACATCTGAAAAGCCTGGAAAAGAAAACAAATTCACATATTATTTCAAAAATTTGACACAAAACAGAGAAGTTAATGTGACCAACATCATGGGGAAATCAAAATCAGGACAGGCTTCAAAACTAGCTAAATTCTACCAACATGATCCTGGTTCTACCAGCTCACATCACTTAGAGCAATAGTTCTCAACCCACCCATGCTGCAACTCTTTAATAGTTTTTCATGCTGTGGTGACCCCCAACCATAAAATTATTTTCATTGCTACTTCATAACTACAATTTTGCTACTGTTATGCACTGCAATGTAACGTCTGTGCTTTCCGGTGGTTTTAGGCAAACTCTGAATTTATAATTTATAATCTGAAAGGATTATGACCCACAGGTTAAGAAGCCCAGCCCTGGGGGAAGGATGCAACAGTGTGGACTAGGCCCTGTCAGCCTCCTTGGCATCCAGCACCATGTACATCTGTGAGACCCTGTTCACTTCAGACTTCTGTGCAGACTAAATGCAACTACGTGAAAACACCGAGCAGAAAGATTGTCACTTCAGTAATTAACACTGACTTCTCTCTCATCTCTCCTTTGCTAGATTCTTCTTCCCGCCATTTACATCTACAACATTTATTTTTCAAGTTCACATCAACCAATCCCCCCATCCTGGTCAGTTTGCAAATAATCTCAGCTGTTTCAGACTTCTAACAAACGGATTAAATAGTCTATGATAAATGCTTTTCCTATTACTGAATGGCAAGGTTAGCTCTGATGAATGCCATCAAAAAGAGAACCAGGGCTGGGATAGTTCAGGGAAAACACAAACTGGACTGACTCCACTCAACAGTTTTAGATCCTATTGGTTTTAATCTTGTAAAGAATAGAAATAGAACACAACATTGTCAAGGATACCAGCTTCCCAGAAGAAAATAAACAATGCCTTGAGAATAGTTCATTCCTTTTTATTTTAAAAAATTATTATTATTGGTTGGTTTAAGTTTGCGGGGGTGGGGGTTACGGGGTGGGGGTGGTGTTTCTTCCTTTGAGCTTGGCTTAACCAAGCCTACTATCATATCATAGAAATGAATAGAAGGAAATACTGCAAAAACTAACAAAGCTTATTTGAGAAGGTGAGATTATAACCTTTTTTTCTTTTATAACGCTTTTCTGAATTTTCCGAATTGCTTTACTTCCAAAACATTGCAAACACACAGAGGTTTCAAAAGGACAATGAGCCTTCACTCAGAGCCTTCACTTTGATGAGTCTGTTGGTAGTGTCTCGCCTGACACGTTCTTAGTGTAGATACTGTGCCCTTCTCGTGCATCACCTCAGAAAGCACAGGGTTATCAGTTTGAACCAGTAGCAATTAACATTAACTTTGATCATAAGGTTAACTCAGCCTATGCCAAATTTCTCTGGTAAAGTTTTATTCCTACCTCTGAAATTAATAAACTGCAAATGGGGAAATTGTTCAACATTTCATAAATACTTTGTTTCTCAAAACACCAGGACCCAGTGATTAGTAGTCATTGATGGTTCTTGATGGAAGAGCAATAATGTAAACTACTGTGATTTTCTAACTGTTATTCCTTCTGTAGTTGCCAACTGGCACTCTGTTATAAAGTGCTCCCCCACCCCTCATTGTTTTTTCAAGGCAGGGTTTCACTATGTATCCCTGGCTGTCCTGAAACTCTATCTGTAGACCAGGCTAGCGTGAACTCACAGAGATCTACCTGCCTCCACCTCCCGAGTGCTGGGATAAAAGACATACGCCACTATGCACAACTATAAAGATTGTTTCTTTATCTTCCTTTTAAAATTTATTTGTTTGGATCAGTATGTACTCTTGAATTCTTCTCTTATTCAATATTAAACTCATCACTGTCACCATTTTGATATTCACATCATCTCAGATTTAACCAGTAAAAAATCTACCCACCAATTTTTGAGCATCTCTTTACTTTTCCATATAATAAGATCTCAAGCTTATTCCTACACAGCTCTGGAGTTAGTTATTTTATAATTCTTTGTAGTACCAAATTATCTGAGAAATCCAAAGTCAGTTACACTAACTGCCGACATATCATTTCTAGGCCTGGACATAAACTCCACTCTTAGAATCATTTAGGAGATTTAGTAGATGAGGAGACTCTAAAGTTTATCTACTCAGTCTTAACAGCGTTTAACTGAGTGTGTTATGCTCCCTTAGTCCCCAAAAGTATCTTTACTTTTATCACATTTACCAGTAAGGAAATCAAAACTTACTCCCATTAGGTGAACTATGAAGGGTACTGAGAATCCTTTCATGTGGACGGAGCAGATACATACAGCACAGTTTCACAAAAATATTTCAAAGCCACACCATTAAATAACATATGCTGTACAGTATGTTTTTACACTATGTAACAAGCCCAGCATATTCAAAACCATATGCTTATATATGCACATTAGTATAAAATCTTGATTAAAGATCCTATATTTACAAAATCACCTAATCACTGAAATGTATTTGTAATCTCACAATCAAGACTTGTGGCGCTATTGTGAATATTTATAGACAGTGCAAGATGGCAGAACATTTGGGGTTGCCAGAAGCACATCCCCAGTAAAGTCTGCTTTCTTGTTTCAGGTCTCATATTATACAGCTGTCATTTCATGTTCTGTATGGAGCCACAGTTTTTCTAATTCTGTCCTGTTTGATGGTGACCCCACCATTTATAGTGGCCTGGAGCTTTCTAAGAGTAAGCAGCCGTGACATGCCTTTCAGAGACAGGAGGCTAAACAAGCTTCATTCAGGCAAGGGCTTTGGTTCTCCTGACAATGTGTTCAATGTAAATGAATAAATAATGTGCACTAAATAAAAAGGCATCAAACAGAAATACCCAAGAATCAATGCTACGCAATGATCTGTTAGAGGGGCTCACAGAAACTTAATCCTCTGAGTTTCCCCCAAGAGCAGTGATTCACCTTCACTAAGTCATTGTCCCTGTGGTTATAAAACATAATTACTTTGAATAATCAGAATCAATTATATCAACCTATCTCTTTACAAAGCAGGGTTGGGCAAAGACACACCAGGTAGAGCAGACTGGGAAGCTGTGTAAGGGGAAACTCATGCTTAACCACAGTAGTGCTTTTTTGTTTGTTTTTCTCCCAATCCACGTAAAAGGGGCAGGAGTCCAGGACATTCACCGAGGACACAAAGCCTGGCATGGCAGCTCAGGAAGGGCGGTGCTGATGCCGTGCCTCTTGCTCCCCTCACTTCTACGGCTCTGTACTAACCGTGACTGAAGACAATGACTGCTCTAAAGACACGAGGGTCTACTAGGAACAAGCTTTGTTTATACTCCCAGGAAAACAAACTGTTCTTGACAAAATATGTCCTTTGGCAGGGAGTAGGGAAGAAACAGAAGAAAGGAATTAAGCTAAATGGTAAAATATCTGCTGACACAGTCCTAACCTATTTAATCACTGTCAATAAAGTCTTGTTAATGGCTAAACATTAGCCAAGAAAGGTCAGTGTTGACCAACCAATAAGTAAAAATAATGGCCCTGGGCTGTGGTATCTGGATACATCAAGGCATGAATTCTTTTAAACTGATGGCAAGTACACAATTTGGGTATCACTATATCTGCTTCAAAGGATAAAACAGTGAAAGGCATGAGCTTTCTGGCAATGTTTGTACCTAGTTTCTCCATTCACCAGGACAAGGCTGCAATGTTTGGCAGTCTAAAGATACACCCACTAAAATGGTGTTAACAGTGCCTGCTAATCTAGCCTGTGGAATCCAACATGCTTGGGAGTTAAGGACTGCCAGTTTTCTATTTTTTTCCTTTCAGTTTCCTATCTTACCACAATGATCTCAAGCTATTCTGGAGTCAGAAATGAAGACCAGAGTTGCCTAAATCATTAAAGAAGCCTCAATTACTGTTACAGAAGAGAGAAGGCAAAAGTCCCAAGGAACATTGCTGTTCTTTCCCATCCTAGGGAATAGCACCAGAATCACACAATTTATGTTTTTATTTTCTTCTGAGAATTATTCACTTTTAGCAGACAAAAGGACAACCAATGAATACCCCAAGGACCATTTGATTTTAAATAAAAGAGCAATGTTTCTATTATGCACACTGCTGTACAACTCTTGGGCTAATACTAATAGCACTGCCATCAACAAGGTTAGTAAGTACTCATGTAAAATTACACTTCACAATCACAAGTTCAGGGCTACAATTTCTCACATTTCAAAGATTACTCTTTGAGGCCAAAGAATCTTGAGTTCAAGCCCAGTGTGGAACTTAAAAAAGCACAATGCTAGCAAAAGACAGAAGCTACCTATCATGAATTGTCCTAACAAAAATATCCCTGAAAATTTACAGCATAAAAAAGCTCTGGGTTTTGGAACTTCTGTAATAGACTTTTCAGACTTATTTTTATGACAGCCTAGGTTAGCTGCTGTGTAAGTGTGCGCATGTGTGTTAATTTCATGTTAAATTAGCATATGAAGTGACAGGCTTCCTCTTGTGTTTTGGTACACTCTGAGCTTCAGCTGAAGGCCACTCCTCTCATGTGCCTTCTTGCCCATGCCCCCACCTGAGCCCTTGAGCCCTCAGAATCTCCCCATCAACTGTTACAGCACAAGTGTTCTCTTATACACCCCCCCACCCCGTCCCTAAAGCCTTTTTCTCCTCTCATGGCTCCTTCTAGTGTCCTAGTGTCTGGCCTCTCCCTGCCCTCGCTGCCCACAATAAATATAATAACATTATAAGTACATGAATTGGAAAGCTAGGGTCCATACATGACAGATGGAGTGCTTGTCTCAAATCTGAGTCACCTCACTTAATGCTACATTTTCTACTTCCACCCATTTTCCTGCCAATTTCATTCTTCTTTATGGGTGATTAAAATTCCATGTATGCTCGTACCACACTTCCATTATCTATTCATGTGTTGATTGACATTTAAATTGGTTCCATTTCCATCAAACAGAGCAGCAATGAAAAAGGATGTGAAATACTTTTGTGTCAGGATACAGAGTCCTGTGGGTACATGCCCAGGAACAACACAGCTGAGTCACAGTGTAGTTCTATTTTTAGTTTTTGAGAAGCCTCCACACTGGTCTCCACAATTCCACCAGTACTGAAAAAGGATCCTCTTTCCCCATATCCTTTGCCAGAGTCTGTTTTCATGTTTCCTTGAGGACAGCCATTCTGAAGACTACAGTGAAATACAGTCTGAAAGTAGTTCTAATTTGCACTTTTCTGATGGCTAACTATATTGAAAACTTTAAAAACCATTTACAGACCATCTGCATTTCTTTTGAGAACTGTTCACTGTCCCTGTTATTAAGTGGCATGATTAATCCATTCGTTTATTTAGGCTTTTGTGTATGTGTGCTTACATTTTACACTTCTTTTTTACATCCTAGTTGCCTAAAATACAGCTGGCAAAGACTTCCAGTTTACTATGCTGGTAGTATTTTGCTGTGCAAAGGCTATATGATGTAATCAACTTTCAATTCTTGCGAGCATTTCTTATGCTATTGGAGTTTTATAACTTTAGTTACTTTAATCATCCATTAATACCATTCAATTTCTAGCACCACATTTTTTCAAGTAATTTATTAATATTAAATAAGAGTACTTCTTTTTTTTAAATATGAGTACTTCTTAATGAAGTCTAAGGGGGAAAATCTTAAGGGGAATTGATTTATTAACCATTAACAATTTTCACTTCTAAAGAAAGATAAATTATTTTCAAAACATTTCATTCCCCACCCCATTTACCAGCTCCTGATACTATACAACTCTCCAAAGAACAAAGAGAAAACAGCCCACCTGATTAAGTGTTGATTCCAGAGCAGTGATACAAAGATGAGTTTATTTGACCATGCTTCTATTGCCATCAGCCTGTATCAAGGGGTACATGAACTGCAAACTGTAAACAGGAACTGGCGGATGATGCTAGAGAAGCAACCTTTTAACAACTACTAGAAATTGCAGGAACTTGTTTAATGTACACCTCGCCTAATACTCCATACCAGAGATCAAAATCCAACCAAATGTTAGTGCAACAAGATAAACTGCTGGGACACTTACCTAGAGCTGTGAAATCTGATCCAGATTTGAACAGAGCTGAGGCCAGGAGTTGAAACTGTAGAGAAATACACAAGCAAATTAGCAGGCTGATACACTTAGGGAAATAACTTCATCGTTTTTTATTTATTATAGCCTCTGTTCTTATGCATTCATCGCACAGATCTAATCACCAAAACCTGGCAACATCCCCTGCATAGCTCCACATTTACATTCAAACAACATGCTGGGTTTTCCTATTTATTTTTTTGAAACAAAGTTTTCACTGTGTAGCTAGGCTAGCCTTGAACTCATAAACCTCCAATCTCAACCTCCTTGGATGTCTTTAAATTTTCACATACCAATATTTTGTAAGGCCCAATTGTCTTTTAGAAGTCTGAAATGGGACAAATACTCTATTTCTTTGTGAATTTTTTTTTTTTTTTTTACTATTTTATGTGTATGGATCTTTTGGTTGCATGCCAATTTGTGTGCTGTGAGTTCCTGATGCCCATGGAGACCAAAAGAGATGCTGGAACTGGAGTTACTTATGGTTTTGAGTCACCATGTAGACACTGGGAATTGAACCCAGGAAGAGTAGCAAGTGCTCTTAAGTGCTGAAAGTAATCTCCCCAGCCCCAATCTATATATTTTTGCTTATGTTATCTTTGCTTAGCTCTCACAGCAGAATTACAATTTATTCACATAAAGATTCAGGAATTCATCTAATTTCTGAGAGTTTATGTAGAATTATAGGAGAGTTTCATAGTATAGTTTCTTAAATGATTAATAAAATTACTGATGGAGACACTGGGGCTGGATTAATTGCTGAATTACTTTTAATTACAAACTCAATTATGTAATAAATATGGTATTTTTTTATTTCTTATTATGTCAGTTTTGGTAAATTACATCTTTTAAGGAATCTTCTGTATATCACATTAAGTTCCTCAATGCACTGATAAGGTTTTTTACTGTATCTTTTTGTTACTGTTTTCATACTGGGGTTCTAGTGACTTCATTTTTTCAGGTTGTGGTGGTTTGAGAGAAAAACGGCCCCCAAAGAAAGTAGCACTATTAGGAGGTGCCGTCTTGTTGGAGGATGCATGTCACTATGGGGCCGGCTTTGAGATCTCTTTTTCTCAAGATCCCCTCAGTGTCACAGTTGGTAGACTTCCTGTTACCTGAAAGAAGTAGGACTCTTAGCTCCAGCACTGTGTCTACCTCGACATCCCGATGATAATGGACTGAGCCTCTGAAACTGTAAGTGAGCCACCCCAATTAAACGTTTTCTTTATCAGAGTTGCTGTGGTCACAGTGTCTCTTCACAGCAATAAAAACCCAAACTAAGACACACGTGATGTTGAGTTTATGTTTTCATGTTTTCTTCATGAATCTTGATAAAAGGTTATCCATTTTATTTACTTTTTCAAAGAACCACAATTATACTTTACTTTTTTATAGAATGTTTCAATTTTATTAATGTTCTGTTTTAGCTTGTTTTTCTTTTTTCTTTCTTTTCCAACTCCTAAAATAAAAAATAAACTTCACCGATTTCTTATGGAGAAGTGTGAGAGAAATCTGTTCTTCTAACAAACTGATAAAGTAAATTGAACTGATATATACTATAATTTTAACCAATACCAAACTGTATTACAGACCTCTTTCCCAAGTTCTGCAAATGTCCAATTGCAACCTAAACTCCTCAAGCTGTTGTCTCTAGCTGGTGTCACTAGCCTCTCAGATTGGACATATGCAGTACTAGCCTGTCGTAGTCGGGAGCCTCTACTGACTCCATGAGAAAAGCAACTTTCAACTCCTTTCTTTCTTTCTTTTTTTTTTTTTTTAAAAAAGGTTTTTTATTTATTATGTATACAGTATTCTGTCTGCATGTATGCCTGCACATCAGAAGAGGGCACCAGATCTCATTACAGATGGCTGTGAGCCACCATGTGGTTGCTGGGAATTGAACTCAGGACCTCTGGAAGAGCAGCCAGTGCTCTTAACCTCTGAGCCATCTCTATATGGCCCCTCAACTCATTTCTTTTAAACTACATTTAAGTCATCACATGTCCATTCTACCTTTAAGGAGACTCAGTCTCTAATCTATGTTTTTACTTCTTACCACTCTGCTGTGAGCTGAACTACCATAGCTTATTGTTTACATTTCTGCCACCGCTCTCATGGGTCTTCCTGGTCTTATCCCTTTTCCCTTTTGTCTTTCCTCAATACAGTACTCAGAGTAGTCTAATTAAAATACAGAGATCTTATCATTCCCTTGTACCATATCTGGAGCTGAGTCCTTAACCATTCCAAGTAAAAGCTAAAAAAGTCCTCCTAACCAGACTTATGAAGCCATTCAGTCTGTTTTCCCAATCTCTGTGTATTCTTCTCTAGCCTTATTTCACAACGCTCCCATTCTTCTGACTTCTCCACTTCAGTTAGCATGAGTTCCTTCCATTCTCCTAAACCATGCCAGAATGCACTATACCCCCAAGGATCTCTGTTCCAGCTGCTAGAATTATCTTCACTGTACTATCTCCTCAGAGAACTAACTCCCTCACATTCTTCAAGTCTGTGTGCAAATCTACTTTCTACTGAGGCCTATTATGATAAACCCATTTAAGACTTCAACTGCCCCAATTCTTACCCATATAAATTATGATTTCCTTTAGGCCCAATCCTGCCACTGGCTTTTTGACACAGGTCTTATGTAGCCCATGCTGGCCTTGAACTCATTGTGTTGCTGAGGATGACCTGGAACGCCATATGCTCCTGCCTTCACCTTCCAACTGTTTCAGATGTGGGCCCCCAAAGCTGCTCCTTTACTCTTCTTAGATTACATACTATTAACCAATTTATAATTATAATAGACTATGTATTTTTCTTACTTAATATGTTTGTTATCTTCCTTAAAAGGATGTTTAGCATCTACTGAACAAAGATCATTCCCTTTACAAATATATTTCCTATGCCAAGAATGCCTGGCTATGTAAAGAATCAATATACAACTATTAAATGAATGAGAACAATTATTTTGGAATCCTAAAAGAATTGTATAATTAGTACAAAATGTGGTCTATTAGTTGAAAATTTGTTTTCCCCATTCCTCTATTAAAATGTCCTTTATGAAAATGGCAGGCTTGATTTTGGCATTTTTTTTCCCTCAAGCCTTTCTAGAAAAAAAAATACATAATTTTTATTAGCATGTGCTAATTACACATAACATGTTTCGTCATCACATTTTTATACATGTATAGTATATAATGTATATATATACCTAACCTTTCTAAGGTCCCCTCTCACTGCCTTTCATGAGTTTTTGTTTCATTTTGTGGGTTCTTGTTTCTTGTTCTTTGGTGGTTGTTTGTGAATTACTACATTTTATTAGTTTGAACAAACAAACAAAAAACAGGATCCTGAGGGTAAAAGCATGGGCTCAATTTAATTATTTTAATAAAGTTCATTGGAAGTTCAGAACCAACAGTCTAGAGACTGAAGGAAACAAGGAATCATGTTTCGATTTACAAAGGTAGGCAACTGTCACTGTCCTAAACTCGTTATAATACAATGATGAAAATTATGATAATTTTCACATCTCAAACATAAAATACTTTAGGTTACTGAGAAGTTAATTTAATTAATGAGAAAATATGTAAAACAGGGGAAAAAAATGACAACCCAGACTGCTGGGTTATAAAATAGTTTAAAAGTTAAACCTGCTTACCCATTTTAAAACCATATTATAGTCTGGTAGACCTACCATTCCCAATTATCAGGTATTTTCTGTGTTTTGTTATACATGCAGACAGAAGAGTGGGTGAGGGTACAGTCTGAGTTTGGAGAGGATTCTAATGTTCACAAGCACATACCACCTCACTAACTTCCAAGGCTAAGCAACTCTTGCTTACACTTTTAGAAAATGCAAAGGAAACCTGTATCATACAAAATGTAGGATTCACAGAATAGGAAAGCCAGCTACCAATACTTTAAAATGGCTGTCCGAACTTGCAATAACTCCCTGTCCTGATTTTTCCCATTAACTCTAAGAGCAAACTGTTTTATTTGACCTACTTACCAATCCCACAGCTGAAATTATTTACTCTGAAATATTTGGTTTTGGTCTGGTTTTTAAAAATAAGGGGAAAATAAGTATGTTCAGTTATGGCCATTTTATATAGGACACGGTGAAAATACAAGGAAATCTATTTAGAACTCTCAAATGCATGGTGCAACAAAAATGTCCATTAATGTATTTTCATAACTACATAGTGTAATAAATCATGGCAAATTACTCTGTTTCTCAGCAAAAGAATAGTAATTTCCCACATTTCAAATGGTATCAGGAATCAGATAAACATTCAAAGAAAAACAATTTATTGTCCCTAAACAGAGGGTTCTAAATTGTAGTTTGCTCATTCTATACTTGAGGAAGAACTGCAACCAATAATGAGTGAGAAAGACGGAACATATTTTCACAGTAAACTCTGAGGGAGTACTGTTTTGGTGTGGAAGACATGAAGGTTTTATTGTCTTAAAAATACAATGATCCTGGTGCATGAAAGAATCTGACATTTAATCAAAATCCATGTCAACACTGAAGGAGAAAAGTGCTCAATACTGCAGTTACGAAGCCAGCGCAAGGCAGCACCACACAAGGAAGCAGGCCTAAGGGACGGCTGTAGCCCTTCGGCATCAGCTGGGAGTAGAAGAGCGAAATGACCGCAGCTCAGGTGCTGCTAAATGAACAAAGACACGTGAAGGGCCAAAGCAATCTCTGAAGCGCCAGAAAGAAACTGTAAGACCCAGTGCAGACATGTTCACACACTGGATAGGCACATGTGTCGGTAAGAACAGAAATCTTAAACATTGGCTTCAACTTCATGGAACAAATCCTGAGACTCATTTCTCAAGCTTAGGAATTAGCTGGAAGAGGTTAGTAGCCCATAGTCAAGTTCTACTGCTAGAACCTTCTTACAAATAAATACTAACACTGCAAGTATTCCAAACCCACCTCCCTCTCTGGCTCCTTTTTCCACACAAAGAGAAGTTCTATTTCTCTCTTAGACATTAACAGCAACAGACGTGCATATTGAACCATTGTATATAATCCTTTATGATCTATAAAAACTGAACTTAAAAAAATTTCCTCCATAAATATAGAACTAATGTCGAATTTAAATTTTTATACCATTATAATCAGGACTGGAGAGATGGTTCAGTGGTTAAGAGCACTGACAGCTCTTCCAGAGGACCTGGGTTCAATTCCCAGCACCCACATGGCAACTCACAACTGTCTGTAATTCCAGTTCCAGGGACCAACACCCATGGTAAAACACCAATGCACATAAAAAAAATAAATAAATTTTTATACCTAAAAATTCTTTTTGAATGAATCAAATATGCCTGCTCAATTTCCTTTTCTTTTTCTTTTTGGATACAGGGTGTTATGAGACACCTTGTGACTTAGATTAGCTTTTAATTAGCAACCCTCCTGCCTCAACCTTCCTAATGTTGGAGGACAGGCATTCAGTAACATATCTGGCTCTGCCTATTCACTTTTTTTTTTTCCTTTCTTTGGTTTTCTGAGTCAGGGGTTCTCTGTGTAGCCCTGGCTGTCCTGTAGACCATGCTGGCCTTGAACTCACAGAAATCTGCCTGTCTTTGCCTCCTGGGATTAAAGGTGTGTGCCACCATCACCTGGCTGCCTGTTGCCTTTTTATTTCATCCATTTTTATTATCCTCAAGATCAGAGCATCATATTTTCTTCATTTTCCTTTAAACACTCAAACTAGAAAAACATTTAAAAAACATAGTCCACTCCTGAATTTGAGTCCCATCTTTACCTCTTTTGTCTCTTCTGGGTCTGAATGATCCACAGTTATATAAAGATCATTCTGTAAATACTTCAGAGCACTAAGAGGATCCATTTGGGCCTTCTCTTCAAACCTAGAAAATACAAAACAAGGGAACAATTACTCTGAGTTATGAGAAATGCCCTTAAGACTTGAAGAAAGGTGCTTAGACATGAGCTAGCTATTCTGGGTATCTAAAAACCTTGTGTTTTTGTGCATCAGAAAAATAAGAATTCTCCCACGCACACTACAGATGTCAAGTCTCCAGAGATGCAACAGAAACAGAACATCGGTGCCAAGACTTCCTACCTTGGCTGTGCAGCCCGGCAAGGCGGCTCAGCTGACAGGGTCCTTGCCACCTCCTTTACTGGGCCCAATTCCATCCTCAGAACTGACTTCCCGAAGTGTCCTTTATCCTCCACATTCATACTGCAGTGTGCACACAAGTGAGTGTGCACACACACTTACACACCAACCTTACAAGACCCCAATGTGTCACATCAAAACCAAGAAGATAAAGACTAGCTTTCTTAGACTAACAGACTAGACTTTCTGATGACAGGGGTTTTTTGTTTGTTTGTTTGTTTTAACAGTTTGGAAGCTGAAATGAATAAGGCACTTAAAAAAATCAATTTTCTTAATTAAAAAAATTATGTGAGTGTTTTGCCTGCATGTATATATGTACACCACATGTATGCCTGGTATCCAGAGAGGCCAAAAGAAGGCAACAGATCCCCTGGAATGAGAACAACGGACAGCAGTCCAAGTACGGCACTTTTAATAAGTACCATTAACACAGGTTAGATTTTTTGTAAGTTGAATATTTGCCTAATTTTATTTATTTTTTTAGTTTTCCCACTTTCCTTTCCTTCCTCCATCCTTTCCCATGATACCTTCCTCCCTCCCTCTCAAGCGCATGGCCACTCTCTCTATGATGGTTACTGTTACTTGTAAATGTATCAATGCATTTCCTTGTTCTTTTCTAGGAGGCACAGTCTCACAGAAGACTTCTTCCCAGAAGTTCCCTGAACCTTAGGCGCAAAAGTTTTGTGGCAGATGTATCCCTTAGGGCTGGGTACCCCACAATCAGTTGATTTCTGTTTCTACAGCAGTATTGATAACGATAATAGAAACAAATACAATAACCACTTAAATATGCTTGATATGATTAGGTATTTTACATATTTCATTTATACTTAATATAACTCTCATAATATGGATACATTTTTCACCATCTGTTAAAAAAAATAAGAAATTAAGCCCTCCCCTCGACCAAATTGTGTCAGGATAAGAGCTAGTAAATAACAGAAGCAGAATCAAACACACGTGTGAACAACTACACAGCTGAATTCTCTTAAGTTAAAGAAAAAGAAAATTTGCTTGCAATGGTGGCCCACATCTTTGATCCCAGTATTCAGGAGTAAGGCAGGTGAATGTTTATGAGCTGGAGGTCAGCCTGTTCTATACAGCAAGTTTCAGGCTAGCCATGAGACCCCCTCTCCCTCTCTCTCTCTCTCTCTCTCTCTCTCTCTCTCTCTCTCTCTCTCTCTCACACACACACACACACACACACACACACACACCACACACCCACCCACACCCCATCACCAACAAAAAAACCCCAAGTGTTTGTTATCTACTTAAATAAGACAGTGTTCATTTGTTACAATATAACTATACAGATGTTTATATATGATGCCTTTGAAAATGCTATATAGTTATATAGAGTACATAGGTTCCTCTGGGTAAGGAAGATGGTAAAGACCTTTCCCAATGGAGTTCAGGCTGATACTGCTTCAATGACAGGCTATCTTTACTTTAGGCAAGGACAAAATTAAATGTGAACCACTACTGTTCTCTTGTATCAGGTAGTGCTCAGATAAGAGACCCCTTAGCAGAGGTCATTATTACTCTACCAACTTATCCACAACAGATTCAAGTATTGAGCCATAGGCAACTGTCTCAAGCTAGATCAGCAGCTTACCAAGTGGCTTGTCAGAATCCCTCCCAATAGGGACATTCTTTAAAGAACTCTCTCTTAAGAGAACCAAAAGATAGATATACAAGGATGTGATGGTTTCAAAGAAAAAGGTTCCCAAAGGGAGTGGCACTATTGGGGGTATGGTCTTGTTAGAGGAAGTGTGTCACTGTGGAGGCGGGATTTGAGGTCTAATATATGTTCAAACCAGGTCTGTAAGACAGTTCACTACCTGTTGCCTGCACACCACCATGTATCACCCGGATGATAATGGACTGAACCTCTGAACTGTAAGCCACCCAATTAAATGTTTCCTTTATAAGAGTTGCCTTGGTCATGGAATCTCTTCACAGCCACAGAAACACTAAATAAGACAAAGGACATATAAAAGCAGACACAGAGGAGGGGGTGGGCTGAAGTCATAAAATAGTCAATCAGCCAGCCTGCCTGCCTAGGCTCTGAGACCTAGGGAAAGCAAAGTCAGAAGGAGCCAGCTGTATAGGAGGACACAATGAGGCAAATAGAAAAGCCACTGGAACTGTTCTGGCTTCACATACAACTCTCCAACTGGTCTCATTACTAAAATACAGAGAAGGTACCTTAATGCCTGGCTTGCTGCTAAAACGACTAAGGGGTCCTAGGCTTCCTCCAATCTTCTGCAATGTGAAATAAACCCAAATTTCACTTTCCATTCTATTAAGTTCAGTAAAGAAAGCAGTTTCCTGGAAGTTATGTCTTCCCTCCTGTTTGTGAGTTTTGTTGTTGTTTCCATCTTGGGGTTCTTAACGTGTAAAAAGTACTTCTGTAGTCTAGAATTGTGTTTAACCAACAGTTCTTCCCTACTGTTAGACATGAATTTAATGCTGTAAGAAGTCTTGCTCCTTCGACACACAAGTTGTTAATCAAGTTTAGAAGACGAATATTATATTAAAAGTTAATGGTGACACTTTATTTATATCCTTGGCTCACAAGGTACTTTTTTCCTTAAAATATATATGTTAACTAAATAGAACAAGTAAATTTCCACAAGAAAAACAAAAAGTCACCTATCAAAATGTATTAGCCACTTTACAGAAACAAGCTTCTATTCTATATGTAATATAGGAAACTCTTAAATTTGGCTAAAGTTTAGCAGAAGAAAAGGTCTACAGGTTTCCCAATGTTTAAAGTGGGCCTTCTATGACCCGTTTGACAAACCTTCCAGAATCACCCTTGATGCCTCTTTGTCTCATATCCATACCCAAACCACCAAAACGTCTATTTGTAGACCCTTCACTGTCCATCCAGAAACTCACTGTCCGTTGTCAATCTCTTCTGCAGTGTGCCGCCAGACAATACCAAACATCCTTTTCACCCTGGTCGTTCCGCATGCTCTCCTCTCTGCTGGCGACTAAACGATGTAATGTCAGCTCAAGCCATGTCTTCAAGTGTTCACCGATGACTTCCATGTTACATAAAAGCTTCCCAAACTGAACTTAGCCTTCCCAATGTATAAACTTACTGTTTCTGAAGAATTCTATATGACCTTATACCCTTTTGGTAAGTCTGAATGTGTTACTCATCTTTGAAAATCTAACAACTCCTATTTCCTCAGAGTAAAAGCAGGAGGCTTGCAGAATTTGTCCCCACCGCTGTCCCTTCAGCCTCACCTGTTACTTTCACCTCACTCACACCCACTGGAGGTGGAGACAAGGGGGATTTCTGGAGCCAGTCCAGATGAATGTGTTCTGATAGCTCATGTTCAATATTGGAAAAAGGACCTCAAATACATATTTGTCTTTTAAAATTTTACTTTTTTTTTTTTTTTTTTTTTTTTTTTTTTA